AGATATGAAAGGGATGAATAACAACTGTAAAGGATTGCTCAGGACAGGGTAGAATGGAGAATACTATTGGATGGCCTATGGTAAACCACGAGAAGTAATAGGCGTAAGTAAGTTTATTGTCGAACTTTATTTAAAAACAGAAGAAAATAATCCGTTAGAGAGATATGTTGACAGACATTTTATTTGTTTAAACAAACAGTCATGAGAATTTTCAATGATTTTGAATTTTTTCATTCATATCATTTGAATTTAATTCAGACATGCAAACTGTTGTGTTTTAAAATTCATTGAAAGTGATAAAAATTAATTTTTATATTATTTGTTTATTGATAATCAAGAGAGAAATCTGGTATAAACGTTTAATTTTAATGAGGACTGATGAGTAAAGTATCCTCATCCAAGTGTTAGTATTTTCTTGGAGAACTGAATTCAGATTATATTACTTCAGATAATAAAGTGAAATTTATGAGGGTGTACTTATTATTTCTTTAAATAATATTTATCGCTCGTAGAGTCTGTCCTATTTCATATCTAATTTTCATCTACAAGGTAAATAAAAGGCTGTCAAAGGCAGTTAGTTTGCATCTTCTTAACATTGCTGAAGCAATAGAAATATGTCTGGGAAAACCAGAATTGTGTTTCCAAAAAATAAAGATATGTCACCAGTAATAATATGAATAAGATGTCTGTTTCGATATGACAACAGTAAATAAACAATCACGTATTGTTTATTCAATAAAAATTTCTATGTATTGTAATGTATTTCTTCAAAGATTCTCGTACAAAATACATTGAATAACATTGAGACTAATTTCCTATTTACATATGGATAAGCAAACGCTCAATGCCTGTAAGAAGTTGTATCTTTCTTAAATAAATACTCGTAACTATGTGACCACATCGAACCGATCCCTTAAGGATCAACATATACCAATAGAAACTGATTATTTGTAGTCTTTAATATCAACAAAGGGAAAATACAAACTCTGACAAATAAAATTCCAACTAATTGTACAAATTATTGGTTCTGTGGACTCATTAGCCTGATGAACAACGCGTTGATATCTGAATTAAAAGGTTTTGGATACAGTTACATCTAGCGGACAATCCCCAAACAGGCTGAAAAGTGGGTTTTCGATTCCATTACCAGTCACTCTTTAACTTTTTTAAGTACTCCATAGTTTGTTATTTTCGATCATTTAATGTAGCCTTGTTAAAAATTCCCCTAAAATGTTTTGTAGAGATCATTATACAGTGTAAAAGCATTATGCTTTCTATACTGAACAGCTTAATTACCAAGCTTTTATTAGTTTTCGAAGCAACAACATTAGCACATACTTCAAAAATGACATTTTTGCTTTGACATTTTCCACCAAGACATTAAAAGCTTCATCGATTATTTTATTCAGCTCAAAGAAGGAAATACTTTCGAAACCCTCATCCTAGACTAAGTTTTCCCTATTATCTCAAGTCGTTGATCAGTCTTAGAGGTAGTTTTATTGATGAATTGATGATACTTGGAGAACCATTATTAATCAGAAACTATTGATTAGTTATTTTATTTCTTATTTGGACCCCTCTGAAATATGCAATCAGTGAGTACACATGAAATATTATCTAAAACCTTTGAACCTCCTGAGTATACAGAAATTAAAAAATCTAGATTTCCAGTGTTCTACGTTATTCAGCTGTTTTCCAGGTGACCAGTTCATGATACTGATTATCTTCAAGGTAACTGTTATCCTTAACACTGTTCACTTTACTTATATTCCATTTATCTTATGAGAAATATCTCTAAAGCACAATTTGACGTGAAGGAGGATGACAGTAAACAATAATTTTATTTATGATAAACTGTTCAGTATAATATTATTGATACCAATTATTATCCGTTCCCAGCTTATCACTGATAAATTGAATAATACCTATTTATTATAATAATAATAACAATAATAATAATAATAATATGTCAGCTTTAATTGTTTTATTCATGTTTATTGAACAGTAACCTTGACAAATAATGAATTCATTCAACCTAGTTATTTGAATTATTCAAATAACCAATTTAGTTAATTATTTAATTAATTCATTATTGTATGATTATTGAGCTTTAATTACCTATTAAATAAGTCAACATTTTAAGGCATTATTACATTATTACATTTTATTACTATTTTTATTCATTATATAATAATGATAATATAATTCATTGTATAAGCATTATGATATATTTCTTTTACGTATTAGTAATGCACCATCATTTCAATTTATAAACTGTTATGATTATAAATAATAATTAAAACAAATATCAGACTAAATAAAACTACAATTGCTTATTTGAATTATTATTATTATTATTATTATTATTATTATTATTATTATTACCAATGCTACACGGCTAATAAGACATAAGTATTACGTAAATGAATCCAAGTTGTATAACATGAATTTATTATCAAGTGTCAATCAATGCCCTTATGTATTTATTTATATCTAGTTAAAAATAAAGCACAAATGAATAAATACTAACTTAAATATTCATCGATTATAGAACTGTAGCATTGAGGTTTTGTTTGTGTGTACCTAATTCTAGTAATTGTGTTTTTAAAAAAAAATATTAGGCACATAGATAATTTTCTCTGGAAATCGATTTATTTTATAATTGTCTAATATCGTTTGAGTAAACAGTGAAAATTAAGGGTTATAGAATAATTATTTTATCGTGATTCAGAATGTTTCAACAGTTTGGGCATGGCATTCTAACAGGATTAAACTAATCAGTTGTAGCTCTTGTGGTAAATGCTATAAACATCAACCAATGGTTTTGAATTTTTTTGTTGATTTCAATTAATTTCAGTGAAATCATAACCCGATCAATGTTGAGCCATCATTGAAAACCTCAAAGTAATGGACGCTCATTTCATTCTAGTATGGGATTCCTCATCAGTGCGCATCAACGACCTTGCACGCGGGAGTTAAACCAAGGACCATTGAGTCGGCATCCAACAGTGTTAGTGTCTAACTCCAATCAATCCACGATATTACGAGATCATCTTCCTTTGTCTTCGGTGGATAACTGTTTGACACGCGACACGGGTAAACTCTAATGATCACGGCCTCTTACTAGAACTTCGAGAATTCCCTCTCAAAGCTAGTCATTAGTCTGATAATATTTTACAATAGATATTATCGACTAATTGCAACGTACATAATTGATTCGTTTTGTACCGACTGTTGACATTTTAGAGATCTCTATACCGCATTCAGTCATAAAAAGCGAATATTTCTTGTAATTTAATGAAGGTTTTTAAAAAATAATTCAATAACCAATTGAAGAATGATAGCCATTTACGAAATAAATGAAATATTAGAATGTCCTCCTAACTGTATCACTCCTAATTCGGATTATAAATCTTGTAGACATTTACTACTGTTCTATACTACATTTTTCTCAATTATCAGAAGTATAACAGGATTATTCATGCTAATTATTTTCTCGGTGAGAACTAGTTTAATTGTATAGCTAATTAGCTTGATTTAAGATTAAATAAAATGAATTTTCAGTTACTAAACCACTTCATTCTTACTTATTTTCAACTAATTTAAATTTTGGAATTGCTCAATACTACACGAATAAAACTGATGTTTTGTGTATCTACATGTTAATCAGAGTTATTTGGAATTTAAAGTTTAAGTGATAATCATTTACAATGACCAAGGAACACATTGCGCAGCGAATCGGAAGCAGACATCAAAAGAATAAATAGCAACTGGAAACAACAGGAGAGGATAGTCCAGGACAGAGTTCTATGGAGGCTCCTGGTGAGTAACCTATGCTCCTCTACAAGGGGTAACAGGCGTAAGTAAGCAAGTAAGCATTGTTAATGCAAACACTATTCCATACTAAATTTACAGGATCATTATCCAGCAACCAAACACTGATTTCTTGTTGAACCTACTTTATATTCGATAAAATTCCAACCATTTCAATGAACATAAACTTCATTCTGTCATCACAAAGTTTAAATCAATAGTAACTGATTTTCGAAGAATAAATTACATTTGATAAACAACTTCAGACCCATATTACATATATTTCATGATATTCGTTATCGAAGAAAAAAAAGTGACTTTACAAAACCCTCAAAGATGATACAGGAAGAAGATAGAAGGTGGGAGGGAGGGATGCGAATGGAAGAATAGTAAATTTTCAAGTTTCTTTTCAACTTTGTTCAGAAACAAAATTTGTTTTCTATTTCATCATTAATTTTTCTCTCTTAAAAAAATTGTTTTGGTATTGTCTTAATAGTATGAAGATGAAGAAATCAAAATTCAACAATTTAAAATTCAAATAACAAATAATAATTATAAATAATAATAATAATAGTAAATAATTATTTATATGTAAACAAACAACGTCAACAGGAAAAAAACAAGGTAAATTGATTCTTTGTAAGAAATATGCTGGATCAACTCTTACTTTTTCATAGTTTCTGTCGTGTGTTTGTGTGCGTGTCAAGTAAAGTGATCTGAATAAGCGAAGCAGAGGAAAGAAAAGATAAAATATGAGACACAATGGAAAAACGTGAGAATATGAATACTGTTATAAAACAATTTTTTTTAATTCACAAAGAAACAAAAAAAAAAAAAGCAAAACAGATATCCCATTATTACAATCAATATATTGAGGGTGATATTTTTGCTTAATTCAAGGGAGTAATTTGTTTCATATAATTTTCTTCAAATGACACAAAATGTAAACTTTGAAATGAATATAAATCAATTTCATTTCTAATTAACGAATTATGACATAATAATATGAACAACGATTGACTAGTTATTCATTATAAGAATATATGTTTGTATCTAAGTCAATCGACATTCATTTGTTATGTTTTAAACTGTCTTGTAGTATAAAGAACAATATCATCTTATCCATTTCTATTTACATAACAGATATTATCTGATTAAGATATCATTCTTGTGAGCTTAAAATTAAAAAAAAAGTTTGTTAAATGAGACTAGAAATTATATTGTTCATAGAATACTGATTTTAAAATATACATATCCATACAATTATTGTAAGATTATTGGAATTCAAATGTATCATGTAGAAGATAAGTTTAATGAATGTGTATTCGTAGAAATCATTGGGAATGGTAGAGTGACATTATTTATATTGGTTGTATTACATAAATTGCCTAAATTAATAGTAGTATTCATTGTAAATGTACCACTACTACTACTATTAACAGGAGTTATATTAGGAGATTGATTGAAAGACTGATTTATTGATTGTGTTAAATTATTTAAAACAGGATTATATGAATCGGTAATAGTTAACATATCATGTCCAGCTATTGAATAACCAAATGAATTTGAATTATGTAAATATGGTGAATAAAACATTGAATTAAAATCGCTATGATTAACTTGATTAAATACATTGTTTAATTGATGTAATGGAGATAAATTTGTACTAGATGGTAATGAGTAATGTGTTAATGAAGGATTTTGTTTTATAGAATGATCATCTTGACCACGATCAGTAATCAAGTGAAAATCTGTTTCAGGTAAATATGAATTGATTGTTTCATTTGCATTCATATTACATGAACTAAGTTGTGAAGTATAAGTTGAGAAAGTACATGAATCATTACTATCAGAGAAATTCAATTGATTTGAATTATGTGAACCCTTCGAGAATGCATTATATACATTCATCGATGTTGGTAAATAAGATAAATTAGATTGGTCTAATTCACAATTATTTGGATCAGTTGTAGAGCATTTTAAGGAATGAAATATATTTTTTCGAAATGACACTTCATGATCTATGCTACTTGAAAATGACTCACTACTTTGATCGATATCATCTGATGCCGTCGCACTCACTTCCGTATCAGGATTGATTGATTGTAAGGGATATGACCCTGGAGGTGACAAGAATTTATTAGTAGTTGATGTGGATATAGAAGGCCAACAGGTAGTTAGTGGTGTTCCTAATGTTGATGTCGTTGTTAAGGTAGGTAAAAAGGAGTAATGAGAGATTGGTGAACAGTCAAGATTAAATGTATAACTGTGATTAGACTCTACTGGACCCATATAATAATCAGAGTCATTTACTGCAAATGGATTTAAATTGTAGTTCATAATGTTCATTCTGCTTCTTGAAGGTACACCTACTGATGTAGGAGTATTAATATTTGTGGTTATAGCAGTATTAGTAGTTAGATCTACGGTTGATTCATTACTATCATACAAAATATGTGGATTCAACTGTGGTAATGTATTAAAATTTTCATTACAGTTCAGTGATTTTTGAGAATAATTTTCTGTTGGACATGTTTTAGACAAACAATTCGAATTTACATGTAACATTGAACTATGAATCCTGGTTGAACTCAATTGATTATCAAGAGATAAATTAGTTTTGTCTAACTGACTACCTGATAAATTATGTTCAGTCAATTGTAGAACAAAATCATTTCCTCTAGAACTTCCATTTGAATGTATAAAATCACATATTTCAGATTGATTGATATTTAAACACTGTTTATGCAATTGGTTGTGATGAACATCAGCTCTTTGTTGTAATCGACGGTTAGATGTTAAGTAATTTGATTTTAAATCAACTGTTGGATGGGAAGAACTATTAAACATTGAACATATTGGATGATAGTCTGTCTGTAAATCTAATTTTGGAGAAGAAGATAATCTTGTGAAATGATTTGTTGATTCAATGGATGTTTTTATTGTTGGGATTGACGCTGATAATGATGGTGACGATAAATTCATATCGTATTCTTTAATAATGTTATTATCATTATTGTTATTGTTATTATTATTACTAACCAATGGCCATCCCATATGAGGACTTAAATGTCTATTTTGACTTGGATTAACTAATTGGTTTCTCAACGATTCTTTTAAAGGATCAAATAATAAATCACGATTCATATTGACTGGATTAAAATTGAAATCTGAATTAATTAAATTATTCTCAATTGATGAATTATAGTAAAATGGAGGGAATAATTCATGGGAGAATTTATTAAATTTCATACGATTATAAAGTTTATTATTATTATTACTTATATCTGTAATTGTTAGATGATTACTTTCATAATCATTCATTGATTCAATAAAGCATGATGATGCATTAGGATAGATATCTGAACTTAAATTAAGAAATTCATGTTCAATTTTGAACTTCTCACTTCTTGCAGAATCTTCATCATATTCTTCAATAGTTGAATCCGAAGTTTTATCTATTTTTTTCATAAATGCAATTTGTTTTAACTGTCCTCTTAAGTTCATTTCATTATTGTTATTATTATTATTGTTGCTATAGTGATGACGATGACTGTCAAAATTATTTATAATTCGATTGTATTGTTGTTCATGAGGATGATGATTGCCTTCAATTTCTTTCTTTTCTTCATCTTCTCCCACTTCTTCCCCCTCATCATCCTCTTCTTCTTCCTCGTCATCTTCGTCATCTTCAATTTGCCCGTCTTCATCATCCTCTTCTTCATCATCATCTCCATCTTCTAGCATGCATTCAATACTTTCTTTACCGGTGATATCATTACCAGTTTCTGAAAGACTACTGGTTATTCCATTATTATTACCAGTTGGATTGTGATTACGTGACTGTAATTTCTTTTTCTTCATACGTCTATTTTGAAACCAAACTTTCACCTAAAAACGAGTGTGAAAATAGACAAACAAAAATAAACACACGAAATACATTGAAAAAATAACATAACAGACGAAAACCTGTTGGAAACAACCCACTAATTATTGCTTTAATCAGTATATATATATATATATATATATATATATATATATATATATATATATATATTTTAGAACACCTATGTTTTATCATGTTTTGTAAGTAAAATAAAATACGAGCGAGTGCAAAAAACAACGAACCGAGAATTTAGTAAATTATCAGTGTCTCTTGAATATTTGAGATCACAGAATACAATTTATAGGTTCTTTGTCGAATCACTTCAACCACCTGATGTGTTTAGCTCTTGAGTATTTATTGACATAATATCTAATAACTTTCATTCATGTGATTAGAGCTATTTTCAGTATATGAACCGTCAATTCATAATTAAGCAAATGCTTTTTGGTATGAATACTAACTAATGGGGCACTTCATTGAACCTTTTGTTCTAAAAACCTTATGTATATTTATTTCAATTTCAGAGAAATGGTTACCAAAAATGTTGGACCATAAATCTCCTACTCATAATGACTATAAAACGAAATGTTATAAAATCGAATCACTTCCATGGCATTGATTGATAATAATGACTTATGAGGATAACCACCCTTTTCAATGTTCAATGAAAGTTCAATATCTGGTATTTTTGAGCACTTTTTCATTCATATAGTGGATCAGTTATGTATATGAGAGCATAATTTCTACTAGCGACTTCATTTTAATCATCTAATGCTATCTAAATATATCTTCTGTAAATAAGACAGTCTAAAACATCCCAACTTCCTGAATGAAAAAGGTATATGCAAGTGAAGGTTACAGCTTAAAGTGAAATCATCCATTGAAAATTAAGCTTCTTCATTGAATATCTACCCACTAAATGAACAAAAAAAAATGCTAGGTATTACACACATAAATATACTACAGATTTACAGACATGTATCTTATCTTAAAATGACAGTTACTAATCAGTACCAAACATAGAAACTGCTTTAAATAATAGTATGAAATGAATTCTAGTCTAGTTCAATTTTTCGTTAAAGAAAAGTATTCTAACTTTACTAACAAGTTTGAATAGATTGAATACTTCGAAGTTTGGATTAATTTTATTCTTTTAAACTTGATTTGTTTTACAATAAACTTATTTTAATAGATCTGCTTTCTTTGACCTGGATAACTTAATAGTCAAGCTTTTATTATCTTTCTAGACAACATCATATGATGGTTGTGCCAGTGATTTTCTCATGAAAGACAATAAAATCCTCACGATCAAACTAGTCAGCTTACAGAACGTAATTCTATGAAAATCATCCTCTTGAGTTAGAAATCTTCTTTATCGTCTTCAACTTAAGTCGGTTAAAAGATAACTTATGGAAATCATATAGGAATCATACATTTATTTAACTTTAATATTTATCAGTGATAAATACTTACAAACTATTATAAGATCAAGTTTAGAAACAATTTATTCCTTAGAGAATGCAGCGATAAACACTTTACAATTTTATATAAATAACGAATTGGTGAAATGATAAACATTTAAAGAAATTAAACAGAAAATAATAATTTTCACTTTTAATAGCATTGAAACAAAATCCCTCCATCCTTTTAAGTTAAAAATGTATTTATCAGTATAGAGTTATGAAGACTGTTGATTTTTTATTGAGACCAATCAATGTTAGATCACCGATGAGAACCTGGAAACACTGAACAGCCGTTTCGTCCTAATATGGGACTCCTCAACACTGCGCATTCACAATCCCGCAAGTGAGACTCGAACTCAGGGCCTCCGATCTCATATGCTAATACTTAACCTCTAGATCACTGAGCCGGCATCCAACAATATTTATGTCTAACTTCAAATATATTTTTTTGCTAGATTTCTAATTAACAGTTTTATGATGATTGATTGGTTATAGAACTTCAATGTATACAATTCTATCAGTAGTTATGAAATTCTGGCTAATATTCATACTGTAATGATTTGTTTTAATACTTGCTCAACTGGTAAAATTTTTGGGATCGAAACTATTCACAAACACACCTACACACATAATTTCCGTATAACTATGACCTCAATTATTTTAATTTAATTTTTCTTTTCGATTTCTCATTTAATTGTTTGACTATATGTGATAATTCTAGAAACTTTCATTCTTATTTCATTTCTCTGATGATCATAGTTTAAGCAATTATCAAATTATAGAATATGGGCTCCAGTATTTTATATAATCCATAAAAAACATGAATAAATTTTGTTTTATTAATACAAACAAATATAAAACATACTGGTAGATATGATGATAAAAATGGAATGGTTATCAATACTGTATTCCTTTCCAAACATACATATATGCACACACACACACACACGAAAAGCATGATCTCATATCTAATTATCTTATAACTAACAATTTGATTGAATCTGTGTTTGCGCTTGTATATGTAAGGGGAGAATGATTAAACATAGTTTTTGATCGTTTCAATTAACCAGTTTTTTTAATTTCAATCAAAGGATTGCGCAGTTATACATAGGATTAAATGAAGGAAACATAATTAAGCAGGATAACTGACAGATATATGTTGGTAAACATTATTTATCATAGTTACAATTTTATTTCATACGGTTAAAACGACTCAATAAATTATCTCCCGATAAAAATATTGAAGAAAGACAATAATAATGGTCAATATTTATTTTTGTAATTTGATGATAAAAAAAACTATCTGTTTGTCCAAATACAATGTAAATGTTCGAAAATTTCACTCTTGGAACTAAATAGTTTGGGAAAAAGACTTTTAGTCAGTTCAATATCAAACAATTAAGAAGTCTATCTAATAATTGTTATTCTTCCCAATTATAACCGTTCTTCATTTCATGATTTCATAATAAATTAAATTTTATTAATTAATATAACCTGATTGAACATTCGAAGATTTATTCATCTGCTTCTTCATATACAACAGAATGGTATTATTGACTTTCAAGTACTTAAAAAATAGAGTAACATTCAATGTAATACCAAATACTTAAACTGAGTAACTAGAATGCCCTAAATTAAAATTTTGAATTGGTTGGAACGAATCAGAAGGATATTTCTGAAATATGTTGAAAACTGATGCTGCATCCACAGAATTCAGATCTGTTTCAAAATATGCCCCAAGTGATAACATTAACACTGAGAAATTCAAGATATAATTGATCTCGTGTAGGACTAAGAAGTTTACTACAAATAGTCTTCGAATCTCATCTAGAATCATCTTATTTAGTCTTCGCATTATTTACATTTTAAATTCAAGAATTTTAGACAAGGTATTTTTCAAATAGAGGATATGTAAGCATATATATAAATTAGCCAGTTATAAAAAGACTATGAAATTCTAACAACACCAAGAGTAATATATTCATAATTCAACTAAATTGTAAATTTTATGTTATAATTTCTTACATAAATGGAGCTAAATAATTAAATTGTTTTCATGAATAGCTATTGACAGGTAACTATTATCTTCGTTTATAATTAAGATAATTATAGGCATTTCGGTATTTAATAATAGGAATACAATTTGTTATAATTTTATCGGTAAAAGAAACACAGTATTGGAATAGTTTGATAAACTTTCAGTTCAATTGAAGAGATAATCAGTGAGAAATAGCTTTTTAAAAATTTTATATTATTCATATGACATTTAATACAACCAAAGTATTAATGCATATTATAATTAAGTCAATGAATTCAATCAACACTATTTCATTAAAAGTAATCTATCTGTATAATAATATTTACTGGAGTGATTTTTTCACTTCAACTAAAGTGTTTCATATGATTCATGAGTTACTGATCAAATTCTATGCCTAAATAACAGCACTATACGTAAACATTTTTATTAAGGGAACTAGTTAAATTTGCATATAATCTGTTTTGAGTAATACTTTCATGTGATGACTATTTCTTTTATCCAACTGTTCAAATAAAGATAGGTAGTGCACCGTTGAAATCTGATTCCTAATGATTGACAATAGAATATTTTAATCATTAAAATAATGATCTATATAATAATCATAGAAGTTAAATATGAGTTTAAGTCGTTCGCAAATAACTATAATGAGTAAAGCTAAATATTTGAAAATATATATTCCGATTTGTGCTGACAACCATCATTTTACTATCTCAACAAATAGAAAACCAGTTTATTATCCATATATATATATATATATATATAGTGATGTATGTCTGTTGACATAAGTAGTGTGTAATGCTAATCAGAAGTGGGATGACTAGAAGCAAACAATTAAGATCATATTGAAGAGAACAGAAATGCAAAAATAGAAGAGTTGTAATAACAACAGGAATGAAGGAACGATGAAGATTATAAGAGGGAGTTGATGGGAAGTATACAAATGAAATATTTAATGTATGGCTTTAGTATCTTGCGAAGACATTCTTTAATTTTGTATTAACCAATAAATTGGTTACTCTTACTTCATCCATTACTCTATATGTACTTTCAAGAGAATATCAGCAATTTTTTCATATGGAATGATTATTTACAAGTATATTTTCGTAGTAATTAGTTCATAAGCAAGATATCTATTATTATTATTATTATTATTATTATTATTATTAGTAGTAGTAGTAGTAGTAGTAGTAGTAGTAGTAGTAATAGTAGTAGTAGTACCGTGAATATTATCAGTGTTATTAATATTAATAACATTTAGAATTACTACCGTCTCAGGTAGAATTCAGTTCAAACTATTAATTAGAATTATAATTATCATAGAAACCAACAGTTAAATACTTATTTTTTGAAATAAGTTAACAAAAGATTATTTCCAATCAATATGCTCTTTAATCAGAATAACATAATCAATAAATAAATATACTGACAATCAATTCATCAAACATTTGCTAAAGTGATTTATCCAAGATTATTTGATCAAAATTAGTTATTCAAAGAAGGCATC